AAAAAAAAAAAAAAAAAAAAAAAAAAAAAAGATTAAAAAGATCCACAGTTCTCCAAAAATAAGCCAGGTAAACACCACTCAATTTTAATGTAGGCCAGCATTTTTATAGGTCGTCAACCGACAGCACCACCGTAATTTTGGTTCTTCAGCAAATGAACTTCCACACCAAAATAAAAATGAATCCATGTATACATATATGTAGAAGTAAAACCGTAAAGGGAGTAAAGAAAACCCATCAAATGAATCAAGTAATTCTGACTAATACAGTTTTTAAATAATATCCAGTTACGTCCATTTTGACAGTATATTAGAGTCAAAATAAGAAAAAATAACAGCAAGATAAAAACTTAACAATATCAACCACAGTTCCAGGAATGTTCGGATCAACAGCAAATCTACTGAATATTCATTTGAACTCAAACACAGCATTAATGTCAGTGGCAAAATGCCAGCTTTTGGAAATCACTCAGCACAGCCTCATACTGTACTAAAGTGCCAAAAACAGTATACAGTGGACAACACCATAGATATTTATTGGATATATAAGAAGAAGTATATATAAATTTGATTCCATTTGACCGCAACCTTGTAAATAAATAACACATATAAGGCAACTGTGAGAAATATTCTAAATAGAATACTGTTAGAAATTTCTGCTGTTTAAGTTTTAAAAAATCTTTAAAAAACCTCTTTATCGCAGTAGTACATGAGTCAGCCTTTAGAATAAGTAAAAGTAGTTCTGAAGACAACAGGATGCAAAAGTGGAATAAAAGTAAACGCATCCTAACATTTATTTGTTGTTTATTTGTTTATATATGAAAAAAACAATTTTTTTTTTCGGCTATTATAAGCATTTATTTCACGGGTAAATTGCCAACAATGGTTTCAAAATTTTATTGAACAAATGGCGTGCTACAACACAGAATTTGAAGTTAAGCTGACGGTAGGTGTTATTTGCGGGATTTACAAGGCACGTAACAGTACATTCCAATTCAGTTCTTAGTCATGGAAGACCATGTATACCTGTTTTTGCATACGACTTCTTGGTTTATAAGCGTTGGAGTGTCGTCATTTCAAGATGTCAACTAAGTTGATGAGCTAAGGAAGCCATATTTGTTGAAAGTAACACTGGTAATTTATGACGTGTTTTACTTAATCTTGTACAGCATAAATTTGCTAAATCATTTTCAAATTTAGTGAATTCTGTAGCTGTTGTAGCACAGTCATTTCTGATATATTGATCAGGTAAAAGTTCTATTTTGCAGTTTAAATCTCTTGATAGTTTTCCATGAATAAGTGAGTAAAACTTTATTGGTCTACTACTTGTGAGTGGTGTTGCTGTTCAAAATACATCTACCGGCAAGGCTGTAGTTGAAACTAAAGGACATGTACATGACCGGTACCAGATCAGTTTCTTTTTTTTTTTTTTTTTGCTTTCATTGTTGTTGCTGCTGAATTTTTTAAAAACTTGATTGTTTGAGTAGATTAAAAACTTTATCGAAACATTCAATTTTACTGAATATTATTGAGTTGGTTGATAGAGCATTTCTAAAAATGCAAATTTTTTCTTTTTTAAATTTAAAGTGAAAAACTTGTTAGTATAAAAATATTAAGCAAAATTTGTAAAGAAAAGAAACACTTTTTTCTGTTTAAAATTTAGTAATCAACGATGAAACATCAAAATAAAGCGTTTTTTTTTTCTTTTTGAATGTAAATTAAAAAAAACGGTGATGAAAGAAGCCTTTTTCATTTAAATTGTATGGACAATAATCTTTCATGTTTTATCAGCTGTTCTGGTCTTAAAAAGAACATTAAGTGAAAGTTTCAGTGGATTTGCAAAAAAGATCTTCAATTATTTGACTACTGGAACAGATGGGCGATTGTCCATCAAATTATTTGGCAATTGACAGAAATTCTTTAAATGTCAAAAGTTTTTGCGACAAATATCGTCAAAAAATCCGCCTATGAGTTGTGCTGTTCGTCAGTCTTAAAAGTGAAGCCACGAGATATTCAAATAGATCAAATAAAAATATCTGCATATTTAAATGATAAGAAATTGTTCAGTAATAATACTTTTGAGAAAACAAAAAAAGTTTTAGCTTTTCTTTTTCATTCTCTTTTTCCATTAAAATACTTGAACAAGAACAACATCATTTTAATTTTTCAGTGTTTATAGAGGAATTTAAATCACCATCTGTAGTGATGTCAATTATTTAGACCAGCAGAAAGATAAAATGCTAAAACCAGCTGTACTAAACTGTTTTAGTCAGTACCTAGTTAAAGTTAAATTTTTTTTTATTGTGATAGAGATATTGCTGCTTGAATGCTGGTGATTCAGTTGTGAAAAATACGATAATAAGATCAAATGAAAGTATTTAGCACTTTTTATTGGATAACAAAACTAAATTTAAGCAAGAAAATGGAATTTCTGAAGTTTACAGTGACAAATTTGGTTTTTTTTTTTTAATTTTAAGAACTGTTATAAAATTCATTTTTTTTTTTTTGTAATATATAAACGCTTTTTAATGGTCATTTGCTCGGTTCTTTTTCAAGTGTGTTTGTAAGTGTTTTTAACAAGTGTTTTTGCATGGCTTTCATTCAAATTATGATGAAACAAACAAAAAGATGAATAGGAAGAAGTGTTTTATATGTTGTGATGTATTTTTACCATAACGGTTAGTAGCTGTAAGAAGTAGCGACGAATTTCATCCACAAAAAGAGAGTCAGATCACAGGTCTTTCAATCAGATTATTTTTAACTGTTATAATACTACAATATTAGCTGTCTAATGGAAATCCTGATTGTTTTTCTGGGTTCTCTATGTTTTACTGAACACTAATCTTCTGATTTGTTGATGTAACAATTCTGTTATATGGAATTCTGCCGTGGATGGCCGTTGCCGTTATGGTTATTAGTGTCATTATTAAGCTCGATGATTTGGATGCAGTCAAGATTGTCTCCGGTTGGATGGTCGCTTCTCTTAGGGTTCATAAGAACCGGGACAACAGGTAGTGATCAGATGTTGTTGAATACAGAACAGAAACAATGGGGTTGTTGTAATTTTAAGCCAACATAGTTGAAATTAAACTGGGCAAATTAGAGCCTTATTGTATTTTCATTTGAGATAAAGATACGCATTGAATGTACTCCGTAAAGGAAAGGTTTGCGTTTCATAATTATTGAACCGGTTTCTCCTTTTTTTTTTTTTCTTTTTCTCGCCAATTTATTTGACATTCGAATTTTTATTTTTTTGTTCACTTAAAAGATATGATCTTATTGGCGTACCTTTATTATAACTAATACTTTTCTTTTATCTTTTTCTTCTTTCTTTGCTGGATTTTCATAAAGTACAGGCCTAACTGGTCTAATTGTTTATAAGCAACAATAGAAACAGCAACTGCAACAAGCAAAAATACATTTTATGCTTCCTGTATTAATTTGGTTTTGTCGAAGAAAACAAAGCAAAAACAAAACCAATTATTCAAATCGTTCATTTTTTTTCTATTGCTGTCTTTAATTAAATAAAAGTTGCCATTATCGGAAACAAAGCCAACAAATAAATAATTGAAAAAAGAAGAATTCCCCGTATACGTCACTGAACAGTTTGTCATTGATAAACGTACAGCAAGAATAATGGTCTATCAAAATAAAATACTGATTTAATGTATCAAAAACAACAACAGTACATATTACAGCTTTATTATAACTGAAATTATAACAGCTAGTGAATAACCAAACTAAAGCTCTGTTTCCTGTAAAACTACTGTCTTTCCGCTTATTCTTAGCATCTGAATATCAGATGTTGACCGAGAACAACAATGGCAACAATTGTAGCTGTTAAGCACTGTACTGTAGATCAGAAGAAAGCATTTTATGTAAAAATTGTAGACTACTGAAGATTAATTATTGTACATTTTACCTGTAATACAGCAAACCATTATTCATATTTGTAAGA